AAAAAAAAAAAAAAAAGAAAGATGCTAACATGGTACTAAGGACTGAGGTGATCCTTCTGTCAGTTTGCCTCCTCCTCACTGAAATGCTCACCACCCCCACTGTCATCTGCAGGCTTTGTGATCTCTAAGATGTTTGGTCCAAGTTCCATCTTAAGTATTTGAAAGACTTTCACCCATTGTCTAGTTGGTTGGGATGTGATTTTTTTTCCTCCAGTGAGGTTTCCTCTTACAGGTTCTGATGGTCCTTTGGCTACCAGCAAAGCATTCCCTGCAGAAAAGTCAGGGCTCCCAGCAAACCCTGAGAACGGAGTAGAACTTTCCAAAGAGGAGCTGATACGCAGGAAGCGAGAAGAGTTCATTCAGAAGCATGGGAGGGGTATGGATAAGTCTAGGTGAGCATTTTCTCCAGTCCTTTCAAAATACTGTTGTTTAGTCACATCAGGGGCAAGGGAGCTTGTCTGTGGCTCTCGTTTCCTTTCCTACTTCTTCACCATAACCTCTTTGTACCATAACTTGTTGCAGTAAATCCACAAAGTCAGATGCACCAAAGGAGAAAGGCAAAAAAGCCCCCAGGGTATGGGAACTGGGTGGCTGTGCTAACAAGGAAGTCTTGGATTATAGTACTCCCACTACCAATGGAACTCCTGAAGCTGCCTTGTCTGAGGACATCAACTTGGTAAGAGGCAACTGACCAGAGTGAAAATTATCTTTAGTAAGAAATCGGGCTGGGCTCAGTGGCTCAGCCTATAATCCCAGCACTTTGGGAGGCTGAGGTGAGTGGATTGCCTGAGCCTGCGGGTTCGTGACCTGCCTGGGCAACTTGGCGAGACCTCATCTCTACAATAAATCACAAATTAGCCGGGCATGGTAGCATGTGCCTGTAGTTGCAGCTATTTGGAAGGCTGAGGTGGAAGGATTGCCTGAGCCCAGAAGGTCGAGGCTGCGGTGGCCGGAAGCATGCCACTGCACTCCAGCCTGGGTGACAGAGTGAGACTCCAACTCAAAAAAAAAAAAAAAAAAGATCTCAGCAAGAAAGTAGTTGTAATATAAAAAGGTATCTTTTATTAAGTATAACTGACATTAGAAAGATCTGGAAGGCTGATGGATCTATTAAAAAACAATAGGCTATCATGAAAAAGAAGCAAAGATCATAAAATTAAGACCGTAATAAATGAAAAGCAGAATAAATGAGACCGAAGATAGAATTACTATTTCCTAAGAAAAGAGCACAAAAGAATACATTTACAAAAGAAAAAAAGAAAAACTAGGTAGCACATATCTGTCTAATATGAGTTCCAGAAGAAGAAAGAAAAACTAGAAAGGAGGAAATACTCAAAGAAGTAACAGGAAAAGCCTCCTTGGGCTAAGCAAACACTTAAGGGTGGCACAGTGCATTATATACTCTAAGAGAGGTCTCATATAAAACAATGGTTATATCTAAGTGATGGTGTATAGGAGTTTTTACTATTCTTTATTATTTAAAAAAAAATTCATTAGAAAAAAAAGACTAGGTAGACTTGACAAAGAACCAAAATACATTTTTGAAATGAAAAATATGATCATAAAAATAGCTAAGCATAATAGAAATGAATGAAAAAGTAATTAGCATATACTGAAGAAGAGATATGAAAGATAAACAAGGGATTAAAAAACAAGAAAGGGATGTTAAGAGATATAAAGGACAAAATAATGAGGCCTTAGCAACAGCCTAGAACAGAGAGAATACAGAGGACATAGAATTTGAAGAGTTAGCAGCTAACAATTTTCCAAATATGATTAATGATACGATTCCATAGATTCCATAATGTATGCTAAGCAGAATTTCGGAAAAAACTAGTTGAAATTGTATTAGAACTACAAAACACCAAAACTACTAAGAAAAAAATCTTAATAGCAGCTAGACAAAAATATTTTTCACCCAGCAAAATAAACTTAAAAGAATAAAAATAAAATAAAACATTTTTGAATAAAAACTGAGTGTTTAGAACCAAAAAACACCCCTAAAGGAAGTTATATAAGATGTGCCTCAGAAAATATAAATCCCAGAAGGAAAGTGAGATGCAAAAAGGAATAATAAGAAATTGATATGTAAAAAAAAAAAAAGTCTTTTTAAAAACTGTTTGAATAAAGAATTTTTAAAGATGTATCTAACTTGTAGAACTAAAAAAAATACAGAAATTAAATACTGGACAAAAACAGCATGTAATTAGAAAGGGGATAATCAGAATAAAGTGCTTTAAAGTCTCTGTATTATTCAAAAGAGGATTAAGATATTAATTTTAAAAATGCATGGTAAAACTTCAAGGTTGAGCACAAAGAACAGAAAGGTTTAAAACAACAGTAAAGGATCTAACAAAAATGAAATAAGTATATACGTGCCCTCAAAATTCAGTAACTGAAAAAAAAACAAACAAAAAGAAAGAAAAAGCAAGACAGGAAGAAAAAAGCAGCACACAGAAGAAGAGATTCTAGGAAAGTGGCAGCAGTGACAGCAGTTTTTCAATCTCTCCAAACCCTCATGTAAAAAGGGACAATTAGATAGAAACACCAAAAATTCATAAGCTTAAAGTCCTAAATGTGTTTATTCTTTTAATAACTTTAAGATTTGACCTTGATAACTTTTTTGTTGCTCATTTCCGTTAATTTGAATTGTTAACATAAACTCATAAGGTGTTTTATCTATCTTTCTGTCTATATATTTCCTAGTTCTGTCCACTGAAAAGGCCTACAAACAGTGACTCTTGGCCTGTCTGATCAAGGGGAAAAGGAAAAACATTAGAAGGTAAAAGAGAACATAGCTATACATATGGAGTCTTTTTAAAAAAATAAGAATATCACAAACTTTACACCAGACATTTCTGAAAACCAAATGAAATAGACAATTTCCATAAAAATAACCATAACTGACTCAAGAAGAAACAGAAAACTGAAGAGAATAATAACCATTAAAGAAATTAAAAGGGGTAGCCAAAGATCTAATCCTAAAAACAGCATTCAAGCCAAGATGATGTTATAGATATATTTTAGTAAACTTTCAAGGACTGACTGTTCTTAGGCTTTTTAATATATAGAAATAGAAAAACAATGCACAGCATTTACAACTCATTCTCTGACATTAATAAAACCTTGATAGCAGCAAAACAAATAATATAACTTAAAAATATAAACGTATACTCCCATCAAACCCATCTGTTCTAGAAATGAAACACTGGTTCAGCCTAGAAAAGCTATCAGTAAAACTTAATACATGAACTTATTAAAAGTGAAAAGCCCTATGATCACTGAATAGATGCTAAGAAAATAATGTGATAAATTCATAATCAAACAACAAAACTTAGCAAAAGAAGAATAAAAGGAAATATCTGTAACTTAATAACACGTTATCTACCAGAAGCCCACAGCACACTTCAAAGTGAAATACTCATCTTCCTTTATGTATCAACGGTTGCACTTGGTAATATCCTAAAGCCCATAGCCAATGAAGTATGTGAAGAAAAACAACCACCAAAAGAAACTTAAAATAATTGAAAGAAAAAAAAATAGTCATTCTTTGCTGATGATATTTTTACCTAGACAATTCACAGTAAAATAAAGCTAAATAAAGAGATCAGAAGGGAAGTCTGACACAAGGCTTCAAACCCTGAGCCACCTTCCAATGGTGGGGTTAAGAGGGGAGGTTCCTGGCCAGTGAGATTTAAGCAAAAGTTATTGAGTGGGTGTTATAAAAAGCTTAAAAAAAAAAAAATTTCCTGGCATGCCCACTTCAGTCTTTTGTTTCTTCTTCATTTTTTTTTCTTGTCTGAATACAAATAGGAGGCTTGCAAGAGTACCAGCCATCTTGTGACCAGAAGACAAGAAGCTTAAGGAAAAATACTTACATACTTTAAAGGTGGTAAATTTCAACGTCGCACTCCATGTTAAAAATTTCAGATGGGTTAACTACATAAATTTTAAAGCGTGTGTGTGTGTGTGTATATGGTACAAAAACTGGAAAACATTTTCACCTTCTTCGAGTAGAGAAAGTTGTCTAAACCTAGTAAGAAAATATAGAAAACTTCTACATGTCAAGAGAAGTTATAAAATGAAGTCAATAAATAATAGAGTGATGTTAAAAATATATGCACAGTATACCTAACAAAGGTATAATAATCCTTCCCTAACATATAAAAAGCTCTTAATTTAAATATAAACAGCAAATAGAGGAACTCAAGACTAGGAAAAAAAAAAAATATATATATATATATATATTTATATATATATATGCCATTTACCAAAGAAGAAATGCAAACCAAAGATCATATCAAATGATAACTGAACTGAATAGTAATAGAGAATACTTCTTTTTTAAGAGGTATCATTCTTCACCCACCAGATTAAATATTAATTATTGCATTTTTACCCAAATCCAAAGAGGATATAAGGAAATGAAAATTCTCAAACATTAAATCAAACAAAAAATTTAGCGGTTTGTCAACGTGAGAATAGCAAAGTAACTGTGGAATACAACACAGCCATTAAAAAGAATGTTCCTTATACCTTAACTCCTACATAAACTTTTTTTGCTTCTTTTGAGTTTTTGGCTATTTTTCAGACCGTTAAAGTTGCAGAAACCTGACTCTGAGATATGTAGACATTATTGGAGATTATTTCTAGTAGTACTAATGATAATATAATTGTGAACCTCCTCCATATACGGATTCTGAATTTGTGGATTCACCAACTGAGGATGGGAAATATTCAGGAGAAAAAATTCAGCAAGGTTCCAAAGAGCAAAACTTGAATTGGTACTAACTGAGTCCATGCAAATGGGGTGATGTGTAGGCACTGAGTTAGGTATTTATAAGTAACCTAGAGATTATTTAAAGTATAATGATGTGTGTAGGTTATATGCAAATACTATGCCATTTTAAACAAGGGACTAGAGTATCTAAGGATTTTGGTATCTGCAGGGTTCCTGAAACTGATAGCCAATGGACACCGAAGGATGAATAAATATTTATTGAGATGTAACAGCTTTATTTTTTTACCATTGAGCTGGGGTCTCACACTGTCACCCAGGCTGGAGTGCAGTGGCCCTATCATGGTTCACCACAGCCTCGACCTCGTGAGCTCAGGCGATTCTTCCGCCTCAGCCTCCCGAGAAGCTGTGACTTCCAAGTGCGTGCCACCATGCCCAACTTATATATATATGTGTGTCTGTATATATATATATGCATGCCGAGAGGCTGGTCTCAAACTCATGGGCTCTGGTGATCCCCGGGCCTCTCGAAATACTGGGATTACAGGCGTGAGCTACTGTACCCAGCCAAAACATAACAGCTTTCTACTCATTGAGAATATTCTTACATTCCTAAATAAACACATGCATTCATACCATAGAATCTGCACACCTAAATATATTAATGTACATATATTGACATGTAAAGACTTCCCATATGTAGTCTAAAGTGAAATAACACATGTTGGAACACAAAGTATGGTATAATCCCATTACAATTAAAAAGAGAAGAGAGAGAAGGTGGGGAAAACAAGGAACAGAGAGAGACAGACAGACAACAGACAAACCTGTACCTCGAAAGGGAAATATCAGTCTGTTAATAGTAGTTACCTCTGGTAACAGAATAAAACTGTATTCTTCTCCTCTCTTTTAAAAGAATGAGCACATATTAATATATTCTTGCTCAAGTAACCAGAGGATAGCAATATAATTAACAACAACAAAAAAGTAAAGTCAGAAGATAGAATTAGTTGGAAAAGAAGATAATTAATTAGATTTTGTATATATTGACTGTGAGTTACTTTATGAGAAATCCAGGTCATGATCACTAAGAGACGAATAGTCAAAAAAGTCAAAGGTTAAGAGATGTGTTAAAAGAAAAAAAGAATAAAAGAAGACTAAGAACTTAGGAAAACCCTACATTGAATGGGTAAGGAGAAAATTGGAAATAGCATACTCCTAATAGTATATCATGAAAAGCTAGAGTGTATACACCTCTGTGGATCGCTAACTAGTCTGGTTTGCATTTAACTTTCTAAGTAGTCAAATTACATGAATTAAAGATAAAACCATAGAAGCAATAAGGTCATGTCCAAAAGAAATCTGCTTCTTGTCTTAAAACTGGTGAGACAGTAGGGCCAATGTAGACAGTATGTGCACAACCTTTTTGCAACCTGTTTTTTACTAAAATAAGCATGAGATTAAATCTACAAAAAAAGAAAAAAGAAAATTCAAACAGTTCATTTGATATAATCAATTTACTAATAAGCTTTAACAATAGTACATTAAACTTTAAATATGTAATAAATGGAGAAAAAACTCACTAAGCTCTGTAATAAGTTTAAGATTCTGCTGCCGGATATTTTCAAACTCTTGTTGTTTTTTCCGCATATGTTCTTCAGTTACTGCACAGCGATCACATAATCCTGCCCTTAACCTATAAAACAAAACAAGATATGATTCATCTATTAAAAGATCTTTCCTTATATTTGACTTTCAAGATTTTTATGAAATTTTAAAAATTGACTTGGCAAATACAGTGAAAATCAACCAAATTAATGGTGCATTATGCCTTTTACATATTCTTACCTAGGCAGAAATCATACCACAATACCATTTTCTACAAATTGTAATTCTGAGTGAAATTCTGTAAAAATCTGCCAATTTAAAACTCTGTCCAAGGGAACTTACTTATTGAAAAAACTGATCTTGTTTTAATTTATCATGGTCAAAATATGAATCCTAGTCCAATACCAAGGAGAATTCTATCTTAAGCAACTTTGCATCTGATTTGCTTAGCATAGTATATGACACATGGTGAGTACTCAACACTTTTTGTTGTTGAATAACTAATAAAGGTCAAGAAATACAAAGGAAAAAAGTCACCCCATATTTTCCTTTTAGCACTCAAAAAAATTAGTAAAAGTTCACAAAGTATTAAATAAAAAAACACAAAAGAGCTTTTACTGATGACTTGTGAGTGCTGAAGAGAAGAGAGAAATACACATATTGCACAAGTGGGGGGAAATATATTCCAAAATGTTAATAGTTATCTGGTAGGTAACCGTATTATGGGAGATTTCTTCTTTTTAGTGTTTTTTCATATTTTCAAAAGTTTTCCAATTTCATTATTTATATAATCGGGGGTGGGGGAAAGGCTAAAAAAGAGATATGTACCCCAAGTTAAGGGTTCAGGAAATATATTCTTTTTTTTTTTTTTTTTGAGTTGGAGTCTCACTC